CGCCTGGCTCAGGTGCTTGAGATCAAAGTAGCGATAGTCCATCGGCACATACCACGAAATGTTTGCTTGATAGCAGCCGGCAGATTTTCCAGATCACAGCATAATAAAATGAATTCCTTTCCCCCAGTTTGAACAGTTGGAGAGTGCAAGAGGTCATATCAAGCAATGAAGCGCACTAAAGTCATAAGAGCAGAAGTCATATGACTCTGATTTCCTTGGGGCCTGGCTTCAGACAATCCTTTATCTCTTACAATGAGAGAAATGTGGAGCGTATAAAAGAAGCAGGGAAACCATTTTTACATCTAATTAAATATAAAAGCAATTCTGACATACATTGTTAAAGAAATGTCGCTTTTAGCATGAAATATAAATCAGTTCTGTATAATTTATGGTACGGCCAAGTCACTTTATATCAGTCTAAAACTCTTCGTTGAAATCAATTTGCAGGGTTTCTGCACCACATAATGACATTGTCAGTGATTTGGCCTTGTTGGTACCACAGTCATCCAAGCTGCGAAGTGCTAATGAGAACTCGCAGTATTATGTGCATAAACACCCACGTGTTGAGAGCTTTAAAGGCAGACGAGAACCCAGAAACACTACTGTTTGCTTAAAGGCCACTGACACAGAAATCCAAAGTTATGTGCTCACTGTGTCTTCTTACCTCATTTTAGGAACACTAGCTTAAGTGTTTTGGCAACACTAACAGACAAGCGAGGAGAGTATTGTACAGTGCAGGTGCACAACCTGGATTCAGGTGCATTACTGCAGTGAACGTGTGTTAACCTGCTTTAACTCTATACTTTTACATCTTTCCTACATGTGCATGTTTACTCTTAAGTATTTTGAGACAAAAACGACTATGACTAAAAAAATGGCATGAAATAATTAATAAGCAGATTTAAACAATTATTAAACATTATTTTAGTCAGATCACTCCTTCAAACCTCCTGAAAATTCAGCGCCTAGTCATAATCTGTCCATTTTTTCCATCTGCTTATCCTTGTCAGGATCGTGGGGGGTGGAGCCTTTCCCAGCTACCACAGCTACACCCTGGACAGGTCGCCAGTCTGTCACAGGGCTAAAACAGAG